CAATACGTATGGGTGAAGTTTTATACAGGAGGGTGCAGATGGATAGAGATGGGTGCAAAACGGCTTACGCTGATGCGCTGCTGGTTGAGGCCACCATCCAAGAACACCTGCAGATACCCCGTTGACTCGTACAGGGGCGCTTCTGCAGGATGGTAAGAAAGGGCGGCATGAGGGGGGATAATCGAAGTTTCTGAGGTAACACCTGCAGATACCCCGTTGACTTGTACAGGGGTGCGTCTGCAGGGTGGTAAGAAAGGGCGGCATGAGAGGAAATACTTGACATTCCCCAGGTAACACCTGCAGATACCCCGTTGACACGTAAAAAGGTGTGTCTGCAGGCAGGCAGGCAAAGAAGAGGGGTGGCACGTCAGTACGAAGGGAGGTTGAATGGCCAAGACCAGGGGCAGGAACTTGTAAGTCCAGGCAGGCTACGGAGGGGTGTCATCATGACGTGGCAGTGTGACAAAACACACAGGACACGCAGAGGAGAGCATGACTAGGTGAATCTTAGACTGATACTCTCTCTACTTTGCCTCCCCCAAACGCCATACGCTGGGGAGGGGGGAAAAGCCAACTAACTCACCAGCGTATGCAGGGGAGGGTCGCACGCACTGCTGCCACTTGCCCTTCACGGGGTTGTCCCACAGAGTTGCTGGCTCATGCGCTCTCTGCAGCCTCAAGGAATGGCTCGCCGCACGGACGGAAGGAGAAACAAGAGCAGCATGACAGGTCAGGGAGGCGTATGAAGTTGGATTGAAGCAGGTTGAGAAAGGTCTCTGCAGACGATTGCGACTGAAACAGATGTTTTGAAGACGGTGCTGGCAACGGGGCGCTGCAAGGGGGTACAGTACGGTACAGTACGGTGCTTACACTGGCGAAGCGGGCCTTGATGAGCTCTGGATGGTCGCCCGTGGACAGACCCCACCACCACTGCGGGGGCATAGTCAAGGGCAGTGGGGGAGGGGAGTGAGAGGAGAGAAGGGTGATTTGAGTAGGTTCAAAAGGTGAGCTAGAATTTAACTCATCAACACATGGTCGCACGTGGACGGACCCCATCACCACTGGGGAGTGTATACACAGGTGAGGGGGAAGCGGAGGGAGAGTTTTAAGGCGCCTTATAAGTGAGCTCAAGATGGACGCCCGTGGATGGGCGTTCGTGGAGGGAACCCACCACCACTGCGGGGCACACAATGTGACAGCGGGGGTTCATGAAGAGAAGGAAAAAGGTATACCCTGAGTTGTTCGGTTCCTTCAGATAAAGGTGATGCAGGGTGTCGCAACACTGTACGTACGTATGGTCGGGAGCCTTTGAGGAAGATAACCCAGGCGTACGTGACGGAGCAGAGCGCGGCGACGAGGAACGCGGAGCGAATCGTGCGGTAGCTCAGCTGCTGCCGCCGCGCCTTCGCCTTGCGCTGCAGCCGTCGCTGCAGACGAATGTTGCCAGCCATCAAGCCTGGCTGGAACTTAAGAGTTCTCTGAGCCTGAGTCGATTCAAAAGTCACCCTGCTGCAGACGAATGTTGCCGCGCATCAAGGCTGGCTGGAACTTGTAGCTCTTTCAGAAATGGGCTGACAGATGTAACGAGTTTGTTACAGGTTGTTCTGAACGTCTCGAACTATCTGCAGACGAATGCCACCAGGCATCGTGTGTTTTCTAGTCAGCTAAACGAACACGCTTTTGGACGACATGAGATCATCTCAGGCGATCTGCAGGCGATGCTTCAAGAACGCTGAAGTCTCTGGTGACCGACCATAGGCGTTAGTCTCTGGTCGGTAGAACTAGTCCAAATCTCGCTGCATGCTCTGGAGTCAATTGACGGCTAGCCATCAACATAGCCAAAACATCAGCCGCGACTACAGCGAGATCTAGTAGTGCGAGGCGGGACGACACGACTACTTGTGCATGGTTGTGCGAGCTGTCAGAACTGTTCCGAAAACATGATTAATACTAGGAGCACAGTTTCTGAAGTCGTCGTTTGGGAGTACTAGTCACGTAATAGTAATTACTCTCTCCTTCTGGCAACTGAGTCCTGTCAGATGTAGCTAGTTACGATCCTACGGGAACGACCTCGCAACGGTCTGATGTCGGCGGGTTCTGTGAACGCTGTAGACCCCTCGATCGGAACAGCAGATGGACCGCGAAGCGGGCAGACACGCACTGGCGTTCGATATTTCAATGTTCCACAGACGAGAGAGCCTCTGGCGGTGTAAAACCGTGTTCTACATCACACATACGTTATAACCCGTACCTGGCGGGGTACACGCTCAGTCACAGGATAGCAAAGCAGACTAGCAAGTCTACGGTTTCCTGCTTTTTGCTGGCTCAGAGGGTGAAAGTGAGACTGACATTGCACCGCCCTGAGATTTGCAAGCAGCAAGAGGTATTGCACAACCTTGAGATTTGAAAGCTGATCGGACGGTGTATAACGGTACGATCTGGTCAGACTGGGTTTGATTTCTGAGATTTGACGACACGGATCTTTTAGGGCGTGTTACATTTATTACTTCAGCCTGTCCGGACTGGCAGTCGTCCGGACTTTTTTAACCTTCTCGTTGTATTTCGTGAATTTCCTCGCTAGACCACTTGCGACGTCGTTAACAATCGGACCAGTAATGGAACATTTTGCGCGAATTGCCTTCCCAAATGGACCGGACGATTACAGTTCGATTAGTGGACGGACGTAGCAGTAACGCAGATTCATTGGTCAGCGATTAAAGTCTTCAAGACGCTCTGGTGTTACCTTTCTCGTAGTCTGATCGTAATCGAGGTTACAACCTCGCAAACACTAGAATTTTCGTCAGGTTAAAAATGTTTCATCTACAACGTCGGACGAGGTTTAGTCCGGACGCTGGACTCGTACTGCCCGAGATTGGGAATCTGAACCGTTCTCGGACGGTTGTCCGGACTTCAGCCAGTTTTAAACATGTAGCACGCCACACTCATTCAAAAATGTGCCGCCTAGTGTCTGATCCGCCAATAGCGTTCTCGACCCTGAATTCTTTCATATCGTGATTCGGTACAGAATTACAATTCACGAATTGGTACTCAATTTTCAATCTTTTTACACAGAACCGATGTAGAAATTTCATGAAAAAATTCTGCTCATAAATCTGTATAAATAAAACAATATCCATGAGTATACTGTCCTGAAGTGAAAAAAACCCTCAATTTCCAAATAACAAAGAAGCAATCTTTAAACTAAATGGAAGATTTTTTTTTTTTACATGCGAGAGATATTTCAAGTGCTGATAAAACCAAGAATCCAGTGGATAGTATAGAATCTGTTAGGTCTGAGAGGAGACGATGAAGTCTCTGAAGTGACCTTGTTGAGTAATAATTGAAAGAGAACAAGATGATTGAAAGATAGGAGTACCGTATTCTCCCGGATAAAACACCCTAGGGTATTATGAAAACCACTGGAAAAAAAGGGGGGGGGTCTCCTCAAAGGAAAATCCTATATAATAGCCAGATCTTATGATATGATATATTTAAAAAACAAAAAACAAAAAAGATGTGAAACAAAATCAGGGGTCTGACTTCACTTCAAGATTGTTGATCAATGCCGCAAAACCGATTCTGAGGATATTGTGAGAAGAAGTGAACGAGAATGGAATGACTATGAACGAAGTGAGTACAAATGGGAAACCCTGATTGGGTTGTACCCCTTATGGGATACCCCACTATAGCCTACAGAAACAAGTAAGCTATATGTTCTGACACACCTCCATAGGCAAAGTGGGGGAGAACAAGGGGTCACAAGACCAGTCAAGCAAAGCAAAGCAAAGCTCAGGGTGGATCACAAAGTCACCACGCATTCCGAGCACAAGTTCAAGGGCCAGAAGGCCAGTTCACATGCAAGATCATATATAGAGATATACAAGAGGCAAACAAGCAAGAACAAGAATATATATAGGCGAAGGTACAAGCAAGGTCAAGAGGAGAGCAAGTGAGGCAAGACAGGCACAAGACCCAACTGCGTGCAACAAAGCTGATGATCACAAGGCGCAAGTGCCTTGGTGAAGACATCAGCAGTGTTGGCCTCAGAGGCCACGTACGCAAGTCGCAACTGTCCACGCTGCTGTAGCTCACGAGCAAGAAAGTAGCGGAGAGCAATGTGCTTCGTTCTGTGCTCCAGTCGCTGCTCTCGACACAAGGCCAGCATGGCCTTGTTGTCTACGTACAGGACTGGAGGAGAACGAGGCTGCTCTCCAAGGTCGGTCAGCAGGTAGGTGAGCCAACGTAACTCCTGCGCAGCCATAGCCCCAGCGTAGATCTCAACCTCACAACTGGAGCCGAGAACAGAAGACGAGCGGGTAGCCCGCCACGAAACAGAGCCGGAACCAAGGCTGAAGGTGTAACCCTGTGACGACCGCTGCGTAGCCTGGTCGTCAGCCCAAGAAGCGTCTGCGTGCCCAGTGAGGACCACTGGACTGCGCCCTCCAAGCACTAGCCCCATGCCCGACGTGCTGCACAAGTAGCGCAACACCCTCTTCGCTGCAGCCATGTGCTCTGGTCGGTGTCTCCCAGGAGCAACATAGCGTGCGAGAATGCTAAGAGGGTATGCAAGGTCAGGACGTGTGCAGGTCATCAGGTACATGAGGCAGCCAACAAGCTCTGCAAACGGGCCACTCGACTCTACGGACTCATCCGAAGGCAGAGCTGAGAGTGAGTGGCGAGTGTCAGAATATTTTCTTATTGTTCTAGCCTGTAGTGGGGTGCTCTATAGCGAGTACAACCCTTCTAGGGTTTGCTATTTGTATCCTCATTCTTGCTAGTTCAATCCTCTTTCTTTCTTCTGATTCTGACAGCGAGTAGGCAGAGGAGTGGCCTGAGGCGAGGAGTACGTGAAGCCGAAGCGCTGAAGGACCTGCTGCACCATGTGTGACTGAGTCAGGGTAATGGTGCGACGCGCTCTGTCCCGGGTGATCTGCAAGCCAAGGTAGCTACGCAGTTCACCCAGGTCAGTGCACGTGTGTCTCTTCTGCAGCTCGGACTTCACGTAGGCGAGTCCAGCAGTGTCAGCTGTGGCAAAGACCAAGTCGTCGACGTACACGAGGATGTAGAACGGCGGCAGAGAGGTGTCGGTGCGCAGAAACAGCGACGGATCGGCAGACGGAGCAAACCCAAGTGCCGCGAGCGTAGTCCTCAGTGTGTCGTGCCACTCACGAGGCGCCTGGCGGAGACCGTAGACTGGACGCCGGAGACTCCGCTGGGTACCAGGAGGGAAAGACCCAGTGATGCCAGGTGGGCGACGCAGCCAGATCTCCTCGTGCAGACTGCCCTGCAAGAAAGCTGTGCTGAAGTCGAGAGAGTGCAGCTCGTAGTCACGGTGAGCAGCAACGTGCAGCAGAACCCGAAGAGTAGTCATCTTCGGGGTGGGGGAGAAGGTCTGAAAGTAGTCAACCCCCTGCCGCTGACTGAAGCCACGAGCCACGTAACGCGCCTTGAAGACAGGCGGTGAACCCGGCGGCCGCTTCACCCTGAAAATCCACATGCCACTGACGATGTTCGCCCCAGGAGGGGGAACAGCGTCGACGTAGGTGCCTGTGGACTTCCAGGAAGCCATCTCTGCATCCATAGCTGCCTGCCACTGAGAGGAGTAGGGACCCTCTATCGCCTCCGCGTAAGAGCGCGGATTCGGGATGTCTGGTGCATCCGGGTCTCCCTCAGGGGCTAGCAGTACAGACGCGAGATGAGGTGAAGCGGCTGCCAGACACTGGAACTCCTCCTGCCTGTCCTCAAGGACGTCCGTGCCGAGGGCACACTCACCCCCGACGGACGGAGGACAGGCAGACTCAGACTCAGCGACAAGACTGGCAGCGTAGTCTAGACGACAGCGTGCAGCAAAGTCGACAAGCTCAGTGACAAGGGCAGACGCAGCAGACGACTCGAAGGAAGGGTCAGTGACAGCAGTAGCAAGGAGACGCGTGACAGTAGGACTGGCAGCACGAAGAGAGTCCGACTCCGGGTCGGCAAGAGCAGGAAGAGAGGAAGCAGGAGGAGAAGGCAAAGGGGCACGCAGAGGAGCAGTGGACGGACGCAGTGACATCCGGTGTGTGCCAGGGACAGGAGGAGGACGCTGACGCGAACCGCGACCACTAGCGCGCGCAGTACGAACAGGCGACGCAGGACGAGACGCAGGCTCACGACGCTCAGTAAGACCTCCAGTCGGACCAGCGTAGGGAGCAGGAGCAGGCAAAGGGGAGGCAGGCTGTAGCTGTGGCTGTGACCGGACAGGCTGCGGACCCTCTAAGGGAGGAGGAGGTGTAAGACCAAGAACCTGCTGCAGGAGCGGAACGAAGTACGGTCGGGGCCGCGCGGCGACGCCAGAAACAGCAGGAACAGCACCAGTACCCCCAGCAGGAGCACCCACTACAGTAGCACCTCCAGCAGCACCAGAACCTCCAGCAGCAGCACCAGGAGCACAGTCAGTCGGACCGCCAGCAGCAGGCACAGCGCCAACACCCTCAGCAGCACCAGCTCCAGGAGAACCCTCAGACCCAGCAGCTCCAGCACCCACAGTACGAGCACCGCCGGGACGCGCGGCAGCAGTACCCTCTGCAGCCGAAGAACCACCAGCACCAGCAACACGCCTCCAGCGCCTGGCAAACCACTCACGCAGCTCCTGTGGGGAGAGTGGCTCCCGGCGAGACGAAGCACCCCCAGGCACAGCACCCCCAGGCTCAGCACCCCCAAGCTCAGCACCCCCAGGCTCAGCACCCCCAGGCGCAGCACCCCCAGGCTCAGCACCCCCAGGCTCGGCACCTCCAGGCTCAGCACCCCCAGGCTCAGCACCCCCAGGCTCAGCACCCCCAGGCGCAGCACCCCCAGGCTCAGCACCCCCAGGCTCGGCACCTCCAGGCTCAGCACCCCCAGACTCCGCACCCCCAGGCTCCGCACCCCCAGGCTCAGCTCCCGCAGCAGCACCAGAGTCACCAGTGACCTCGAGAGGCTCGACCGCGTCTACCTGGGACACACCTGAAGGGGCAGGACCCTGAGGGGGGAGGGGGTCTACCGCGGGGGGACCTGGTACCAAGAAGAGCGGGGGTGGGGGGAGGGACGGAGTGCGGTAGGGGAAGAGGCGGTAGTAGGGTACCGACTCGTCGAACGTGACGTCCTGGGAGGACAGAACACGTCGAGAGGTGGGGTGGTAGAACTGCCACCCAGGGGCGTCGGGGGGAAACCCCAGGAAGACGCAGGGAGCAGCGCGAGGGGACAGCTTGTCCGCAGACAAGTCGCGGACAAACGCCCGAGATCCCCAGACCCGGAACGCCGACGCATCGCCAACCTTCCCCGTCCACAGCAGGGCTGGGGAGGTCTCCGGCCTGGAGACCCTGGGGTGGAGGTTGATCTGATGCGCTGCGTACCTGACCGCAAACGGCCACAGAAAATGGGGGGCAGCCGCATGCATCATGGACGTACGGGCGACGTCCATGACCATGCCAATGCGGCGCTCAGCAATCCCATTTTGTTGCGGGGAGTCCGGAAGCGTGAAGGACTGGCGGATGCCTCGCGCACGACAGTAGGCACGCAGAAGGCCAGAGGAGAAATCTCCGCCTCTGTCTGAGTGCAGACGCAACACAGGAAAGTCGGAGCCAAAGCTCTGCCTGAGCTGAAGACGAGCTGCGCGGATCCAGTCGATCAGCACCTCAGTGACCTCACCCTTGCTGCGCAAGGGGAAGACTGTGGTGTAACGCGAGTAGTCGTCAACAACGAGCAGGAAGTAGCGCTCCTGACCCTGTCCACGGACGCGGGCTGGGCCCCACACGTCCATGTGAAGCGTCTGCAAGGGGTCCTTTGTCGGAGGAAACTGGGAGGAGTGAGGGGCAGCACGCTGGCGCCCCTCGACACAGGGGACACAGGTAGGGCCAGGGCCCTGAGGAAGGGGAGGTAGAGACCGGGGGAGACCAGACACAAGAAGACGGGAGGCCATGCCTCTGAGCCGAAGCAGAGAGGGGTGGCCAAGGCGGTGGTGCCAGAGGAGGGTCTCGTGAGACAGACGACGACACGAACAGGGGGCAGACTCAGGACCAGACCTGGACGCTGCGGCAAACACCTGACCAGACGAAGGGACCCTACCAGACTCAGCACCTGGAGGAGAAGCAGTGGTCAGTGTGTACAGGCTCGACCCTGGCCGACGTGTAAACGTAGCCAGGTGGCGTCCCGTGCTAGCCTCCGTGCAGTGGGTCACTCGCTGACGAGCAGGAGTGAACTGGTGGACACCCGCATCCTGTAGGTCAGCACCACTCACCAGGTTCGTCGAGAACGAGGGGAGGTAGAGACCAGACAGGGTGCCAGAGGGGGCCGCCGGACACGGAAGGACCGTGGAGAAGCGAGACAGGACAGGCCCCCCAGAGGGGTCAGCCAGGGACACCGCAACCGGCCGACTCAGCGGCGTGAGAGTGGTGCGGTCCCGAAAGAAGGAGCGAGACGCTCCAGAGTCAAGGGTGAAGGTGTGAGAGGCCGAAGCCGACACAGTACCTGAGAGGGCAAACTCACCAATACCTGAGAGCACAGACGCACTGGCACCTAGAGCAGCAGCCTCACCAGCACCTGACGCAGCAGTACCAATGCCCGGGTCGGGCGGGAAACACCGGTAACAGTCATCCTCATCACTACCAGTCACACCATACATAGCAGAAAGAATAGCATCAAAGTCAAGATCATAAATGGCTACACCAGCCCTAGACAGCTCCCCCCAGCGGGGGATCTCAGCGGCCTCCGGAAACTGCTGACGCCAGGCGTCGGTCAGGCGGCCAAAGCAGCGGCGGGCTGCGTGGGTGCCTCCACACCTCTCCCCCGCACGGTCACCGGTGCGAAGAACGTAGGGGCAGGGACCAAACGCACCACCACGCTGACGCTGCAAGTACCACTCACGGAGCTGCTGAGGGGCGGGGACGGTGCGAGAGCGCTGCTGCTGCTGCTGCTGCTGGCGCTGGCCACCCCCAGAGCTGCTCCGCTGGGACGAGCCACTCCGACCCCCGCCGCCACCGCCACTCCCGCCTCCACCGCCACCCCCGTCTCCACCGCCACCGCCCCCACCGGTACCCTCGCCCCCGCCTCCTCCGCTACCGCCTCCGCCGCCACCTCCGCCTCCACCGCCTCCACCAGTACCTCCACTCCCGCCACCACCTCCACCGCCACCCCCACTCCCTCCGCCACCCCCACCTCCTCCGCCACTGCCCCCTCTAGCTCCACCCGCTCCCTTGCCCCCCTTGCCCTTGCCAGAGCGGCGTCTACCGCTGGGGGCAGACGCCGCACCGACCGACTCAAAACCAGCGAGGTCGGCCGCAGCGGCAGAGGCGACAGAGGGCAGCAGGGGGGAAGGAGAACACCCCTCAAAGATGGGGGTGCGAGGGTCACCCCGAGAGGCCCCTACAGCGACGATACTCTTCTCAGCCGCTAGCAGGGACTCCTCAAGGAGGTCGACAGTGAGGGTGGTGGGACAGACAGAGAGAAACTGGTCCCTAACGACACGAAGGGACTCAGGGAGACGGGTGACGAGAAAGTAGAGAGTGATGTACATGGGAGGAGGGTTTGCGGCGCGGAACTTAGCAGGAAGGGCAGCGCGGTAGCGAGCGTCACTAGCGCGGAGGTGGGTAACGAGGTCAGCGACAGTGGGAAAGGCAGCGAGGTCAGGGAAGAGAAACGGTAGCATGAGGCGGCTCAGCGTAGCGGAGGAAGGGGAGGAGTAGCGTGCAACTACAGCGTCGTACAAGGCCTGAGCGGTCTTGCACTGACTAAAGTGGGCACGCTCGGAGGAAGGGAGGTGGCGACGCACAGCAAGACGTGCAGCAGCATCGCGTGTGGCCCACTTGGAGCGAACAGCAGGGTCAGCATCAGCAGGAGGGGCAGGGACAGCTCCAGAGACAAAGTCAAAGAGAGAAACCTCATCGATCGCATCGCACAGTAAGTACAGCTGCAGGTCCTCAATCCAGACTGGAAAGTCAATGGGGCGACCCTCAGCGTCAAAAGACAGGACACTGGGGGTGGCCATTGCAGCAGCTGATTGTCTCACCGGGCACGAAGAGTCGAGTAGCACAGCGGCTCAGCAACTCGGCAGAACAGCAGCTGCGCACGCCTCGGAGCAGCAGCAGCCACGCAGGAGCAGGAGCTCGGCTCCTCAGGTTGCCCGGGCGGCTCGGGCGGCTCGGGTTGCTGGGGCGGCGCGGGCGGCTCGGGCGGCTCGGGCGGCTCGGGCGGGTCTGCTGCACGGGCGGTTGGGGCGGCTCGGCTGTACGGGCGGCTCGTGCGGCGCGGGCGTCGCGACGGGCGGCTCGCTGGCGGCTCGCGGGCGGCTGCACAGGCGGCTCAGGGACGGCGGCGCGGGCGGCTCAGGGACGGCGGCCTGGGCGGTCGTGGGCGGCTCACGCTGGGCGGGTGCACGGGCGGCTCGGTGGGCGGCGTACAGGCAGCTCACGAGCGGCTGCGACGGGCGGCTCGCGGGCGTCGGGCGCTAGGGCGCTGGGGCGACGACGGGCGGCGCTCAGGCGTCAGGGCGGGCGGCCGTCAGGGCGCAAGGGCGGGCGGCGCTCGGGCGCTAGGGTGAGCGGCGCACGGGCGCTAGGGCGGGCGGCCGTCAGGGCGCTAGGGCGGGCTGCGCTCGGGCGCTAGGGCGGGCGGCGCTCGGGTGCTAGGGCGGGCGGCCGACAGGGCTCTAGGGCGAGCGGCGCACGGGCGCTAGGGCGGGCGGCCGTCAGGGCGCTAGGGCGAGCGGCGCACGGGCGCTAGGGCGGGCGGCCGTCAGGGCGCTAGGGTGGGCGGCGCTCGGGCGCTAGGGTGGGCGGCGCTCGGGCGCTAGGGCGGGCGGCGCTCGGGCGCTAGGGCGGGCGGCCGTCAAGGCGCTAGGGCGGCCGGCCGTCAGGGCGCTAGGGCGGGCGGCGTTCGGGCGCTAGAGCGGGCGGCCGTCAGGGCACTAGGGTGGGCGGCCGTCAGGGCGCAAGGGCGGCGGCGCTCGGGCGCTAGGGCGGGCGGCCGTCAGAGCACTAGGGCAGATCGAAAAAAAAAGGAAGTACTAGGGCCCGGAGCGCGCTCCGGGCAGAAAAAAAAGTTAAGCGGTAGCGGTGGTGGGCCCTACGAACAGTTCCCACAGGGGAACCTGCTCGATACCATGAGAAGAAGTGAACGAGAATGGAATGACTATGAACGAAGTGAGTACAAATGGGAAACCCTGATTGGGTTGTACCCCTTATGGGATACCCCACTATAGCCTACAGAAACAAGTAAGCTATATGTTCTGACATATTGTGGGCCACTTCGGCCACTTCACCTCTTGGACCACTTGCAGTGTAAGATTCGCAAGCATGGCGACAGCGAGATTTTGGGATTCAACATCGTGGCGACAGCGAGATTGTGGGAGGGGGGATATCTCGGCTGATTCTGAGTGAAAGTACATGCAAAATTTCTTCTAAAGAGTGATTTTCGCGATATCCTACCGCACGGAATCGGACTCGATAACAGCTATAATAGGAATCTATAAGAAAAGGGGGGTGTTATAGATAATCACCCCAAAAAGGGGGGTATAGTACTAATGGGGTCGGATATAACACCCACCCCGTATAAGCTACCCGGGGGTATACAATTACAGGGGGGGGTGTTTTATCCAGGAGAATACGGTACAAGAGATTAATAGAAATCTAGCTAGCCATGTACTCTGAGGGGTACATTCCCTTATTAACTGTATTGCATAGCTACAGTAACCATGACTATTGCTATCCACGACAGTTACCATGTTGCAGTGAAATAACTCTCGCGCGGTTACTGGATTGTAAAGGGTCACGACCGTTGACTTCCTCAAACGGTTGACCTTCGGGTGACCCTCGACATTCCGCATGCTCTATATGAGCTATTGCGGTACTGGTACAGTGGAACAGCTTCGGGAATGCTTTATATAACCTTTCGTTTTTTCCAACACTCCCCTTCATTCCTGAAGGTGGGCCACTGAGAAGAAACGAGAATGATCCTACTATGAATGAATTTGGTACAAGCACTAACCCTAATTGGGTTGTACCCCTCATGGGCTACCCCACTATAGCATACACAATATGCATGAGCTATAATGTTCTGACACACCCCCATAGGCAAAGTGGGGGAGAACAAGGGGTCACAAGACCAGTTAAGCAAAGCAAAGCAAGCTCAGGGTGGATCACAAAGTCACCACACATTCCGAGCACAAGTTCAAGGCCACAAGGCCAGTTCACATGCAGGAGTACATATATATAAAGAAGGCTAGACAAGCAAGAGCAGGTATATATATGTAACAGTACAAGCAAGGTCAAGAGGTGAGTAAGTGAGGCAAGGTTGGCACAAGGCCCAGCTGAGTACAGAAGCGCTGATGGTCACAAGGCGCAAGCGCCTTGGTGAAGATATCAGCAGTGTTGGCCTCAGAGGCCACATACACAAGGCGCAGCTGACCACGCTGCTGTAGCTCACGAGCAAGGAAGTAGCGGAGAGCAATGTGCTTCGTTCTGTGCTCCATTCTCTGCTCTCGACACAAGGCCAGCATGGCCTTGTTGTCCACGTACAGCACTGGAGGGGAACGAGGTGGCTCTCCGAGATGAGTCAGCAGGTAGGTGAGCGAGCAAAGCTCCTGTGCAGCCATGGCTCTTGCGTAGATCTCAGCCTCACAACTGAAGCCGAGAACAGAAGACGAGCGAGTAGCCCGCCACGAAACAGAGCCAGAACCAAGGCTGAAGGTGTAACCCTGTGACGACCGCTGCGTAGCCTGGTCGTCAGCCCAAGAAGCGTCTGTGTGCCCAGTAAGGACCAATGGACTCTGCCCTCCAAGCACAAGCCCCATGCCTGACGTTCTGCACAAGTAGCGCAACACCCTCTTCGCTGCAGTCATGTGCTCCGGTCTGTGTCTCTCAGGAGCAACATAGCATGCGAGAATGCTAAGAGGGTATGCAAGGTCAGGTCGTGTGCAGGTCATCAGGTACATGAGGCAGCCAACAAGCTCTGGATACGGGCCACTCGGCTCTAAGAACTCATCCGAAGGCAGAGCTGAGAGCGAGTGGCGAGTAGGCAGAGGAGTGGCCTGAGGCGAGGAGTACGTGAAGCCGAAGCGCTGAAGGACCTGCTGCACCATGTGTGACTGAGTCAGGGTAATGGTGCGGCGTGCTCTGTCCCGAGTGATCTGCAAGCCAAGGTAGCTACGCAGTTCACCCAGGTCAGTGTCTCTTCTGCAGCTCGGACTTCATGTGGGCGAGTCCAGCAGTGTCAGCTGTGGCAAAGACCAAGTCGTCGACGTACACGAGGATGTAGAGCGACGGCAAAGAAGTGTCGGTGCGCAGAAACAGCGACGGGTCGGCAGTAGAGGGAGCAAACCCAAGAGTCGCAAGTGTAGTCCTCAATGTGTCGTGCCAGTCACGCGGTGCCTGGCAGAGACCGTAGACTGGCCGCCGGAGGCTCCACTGGGTGCCAGGAGAAAAAGACCCAGTGAAACTAGGTGGGCGACGCAGCCAGATCTCCTCGTGCAGGGTGCCCTGTAAGAAAGCAGTGCTGAAGTCAAGAGAGTGTAGCTCGTAGTCACGGTGAGCAGCTATGTGCAGCAGTACCCAAAGAGTGGTCATCTTCGGGGTGGGAGAGAAGGTCTCAAAGTAGTTAGCTCCCTGCCGCTGACTGAAGCCACGAGCCACGTAACGCGCCTTCAAGACAGGCGGAGAACCCGGCGGCCGCTTCACCCTGAAAATCCACATGCCACTGACGATGTTCGCCCCAGGAGGGGGAACAGCGTCAACGTAGGTGCCTTTGGACTTCCAGGAAGCCATCTCTGCATCCATAGCTGCCTGCCACTGAGAGGAGTAGGGACCCTCTATCGCCTCCGCGTAAGAGCGCGGAGTCGGGATGTCAAGTGCATCCGGGTCTCCCTCAGGGGTAAGCAGTACGGACACGAGATGAGGTGAAGCAGCTGCCAGGCACTGGAACTCCTCCTGCCTGTCCTCAAGAACGTCCGTGCCAAGAGCACACTCACCCCCGACGGACGGAGGACAGACAGACTCAGACTCAGCGACAAGACTAGCAGCGTAGTCTAGGCGACAGCGAGCAGCAAAGTCGACGAGCTCAGCAACTAGGGCAGACACAGCAGTGGACGGATGTAGAGACATCCGTTGCGTGCCAGGGACAGGAGGAGGACGCTGACGCGAACCGCGACCACTAGTGCGAGCAGCACGGACTGGCGACGCAGGGCGAGACGCAGGCTCACGACGCTCAGCAAGACCTCCAGTAGAACCTGTATAGGGAGACGGAGCAGGCAGTGGGGAGGACGGCTGTAACTGTAACTGCGACGGGACAGGCTGTGGACACTCGAAGGGAGGAGGAGGACCAGTAGAAGACGGGAGACCAAGAACCTGCTGAAAGAGCGGAACGAAGTACGGCCAAGGCCGAGCAGCGACTCGAGACACAGCAGGGACAGCACCAGCACCCCCAGTGGCAGCACCAGCACTAGTAGCAGCTTCAGCTCTAGTACCTCCACCAGCACCAGTAGTACCCCCAGCAAGGACCGACAGCAGTAGCCTGCGCGCCAACACCCGCAGCAGCTCCAGCTCCAGAAGTACCCGCAGGTCCAGAAGCTCCAGTACTCCCAGTACGAGCACCTCCGGGACCCGTGGCACCAGCTCCCTCAGCAGCAACAGAACCTCCAGTACCCGCAGCACCTCCGGCTCCAGCAGCTCACCTCCAGCGCCAGGCAAACCACTCACACAGCTCCTGTGGAGAGAAAGGTTCGCGGCCAGAAGAAGCACCCGGAGAACCGCCAGGCATAGTACCAGCAGGCCCAGCTCCCTCAGGCTCCGCACCCCCAGGCTCAGCACCTCCAGGCGTAGCACCCCCAGGCTCAGCACCCCCAGTCTGAGCACTCCCACGCGTAGCACCCCGAAGCTCAGCACCCCAAGACTCAGCACCCCCAGGCTCAGCACCCCCAGTCGTAGCACCCTCAGGCTCAGCACCCCCAGGCGTAGCACCCACACGCTCAGCACCTCCAGAGTTAGCACCCCCAGG